TGAAGTGTATCTGTGAATGCACTTAAGAGATTCTTTAGCTCTGACTGCTAGAATGTCATTGAGCTGGACTTAAACACATTTGGCCACAATTATTTAGTCGTGAATATGCAGATATGTCTTGGGTAATGATGAAAATAGTGCCTAGTCCCACAGTAAGGCTTTTATGGACAGACCACTTTCCTGTCATTCCTACCTGAAAATTCTCTATTTCATGAGTGAATTATCTCTGTATTGGATAAGAAAGCTGAAGAGAGTCAGGAATTGTTGGGACAGGAGATTGGGGGATGACGTGCTGCAAAGGGCCGATGTTGGATTCAAACCCATGGCCGCTGCGACAAGGACTGGAGCCTCTGTTAATGAGGACGCACGACATGACCTCTAGAGTCTATACTATCTGATGTCCCAGACGCATCCTATTCTCAGGTGTTTTCTGACTTACTTAGATCTGTCCATCTGTGATCCAATCACCCAGGACAGATGTTAACTTGTAGTGTAAACAGACCCAGGTAAATATAGCTAAAGCATGATGAATATAAAATTAGCATGATGAATATCATTTTACAATGTTATCACATTTTTTTAAACATAGGAGGATTGAAACTTCAAAGTACTCTTTATGTAACCATTATACATGTACAATGATTTCTCTTGACCTCCTGATGTCATGTTTTTGACTGTCAAAATGTCAAATCTAAAGCTAAGAGACTACTGGTTTGAGAACATGACTTCATCTACAGCACATCTTAACATGCAAAACAGACCCAACAGTCACTGCACTCTACCCAGCATACAACATCCAAAAACACTCTACTGCACATCTATTAGTTTCTAATAACTCTAAACACTACCATCACTTCATTAGAAATCACCTTTGTCCATTCCAACATAGTAAAACAAATCATGTCAACAGAACGAACTCGTCTAGAGATGTGATGTTAGTGCATGCAGCTGGTCCAACAGTGTGTTTCATAAATCAACACATTAGACAGCCGGTTTAGGAAAGTTTAGTGTTACTAGATCAAGAGGAGCATTATGTGAGTGTTAGACACATCTGCGTTTGAATATCTAAAACGATTATAAAAGAAACATAATTCAAACTAAAATGAACAAAACTATAAATGCAACACTTTTGTTTATGCTGCTATTTTTCTCGAGCTGAAACCAAAGATCTAAGACTATTTCTATGGACATAAGAGGACTATTCCTCTCAATTTTGAGCGCTCAGTTCAGATGTGTGTTAGTGAGCTCTTCTCCTTTGCTGAGATAATCCATCCACCTGACAGTTCTGTGGCATTTTAAAGATGCTGATCAGACAGCATGATTATTGCAAAGGCGTGCCTTAAGTTCGTCACCATAAAATGTCACTCAAAACGTGCACTTTTATCACACAGCAAACTGCGACCGACAAGTTTTGAGGGAGTGTGTAATCTGCATTCTGACTCAGGAATGTCCACCAGAGCTGTTGTCAGTTAATTGAATGTTTATATCGCCCCCATGAGCCATCTCAAATGTGGTTTCTCAGAATTTGGAAGTACATCCAACCGGCCTCACAACCTCAGATCACGTTTAACCACGCCGTATCTGGCATCTTCACCTGCAAGATCGTCTCAGACCAGCCACCGGGCTGATGAAAGAACTGGTTTGCACAAGCAAAGAATCTCTGCACAAACTGTGCAGAAACCGTCTCAGGGAAGCTCATCTGCATGCTTGCTGTCATCTGTACATCTTTGGCAAATGGTAGGCCACACCAGATACTGAACATTTGAGAGGGATTGGCCTTTTGTGTACATAGAAAAATGCTTAGCTCTTTGATTTCAACTTGTAAGATATTGAAGCAAAAACAAAAACATTTGTGTTTATATTTTGGTTCTGTGTTCTAAATTGTTTGGACGAAAGATAACCTTTTAATTAGGACTTATCTGTAGACAGTGAACATCCTACTTTTCTAATACTGATGAGTGTGTAGTGGCTCGTTTAGATAAAAACCTACTATATGTTTGAATCTTACAGTTCTACATTACACCGGCCTGGTAGTCATCAAGAGACACCAGCTTTGATCAAGCAGACAGTAACATATGTATGTACATTCAGTGAATACTCAAAAAGGAGGAATGATCCCTTCAAATGGGAAGCTAGTACTGCTACTTTTGTTATCATTCATGCACAGCCTGCTCCGACTTCCACCTCACAAGGAAGTGTGGACAACAGGAATACAATGTAGAAATCCTTCCTTCATATTAACCCCTAACGCTCTTTCGTAAAGCGACTCGAGACGACAGTTGTTATGAATTTGCTCTAAACAAATAATGATTGATTGTTTGATATTCCTACGCTGTGGCTGTCGCTGTTAAATAATGCAATTCCAAAAATGTCAATAAATTCACAAATCGCACAGGCATGAGTTAAAACTCAACATGTCTTCAGAGGAGTCACGACCGCCTTTCAGAAAATATCTCAAGTAGTACTAGAAAAGAACGGGAGTGTTGCAGAGCCACATCTTGAAAACTGCTTGAAGGGTCTTCACAGATTAGTATTTCATGCAACAAGTAGATACACAAATCAATAAATAAGTACACTCAAAATAATTAAGATTTACACGGTCTACAAGAGGGTTAAGTAATAGTTTGGGACTTTAATGTTCAACTACCACTTCATCATTAGCTACCACTCAGTCAGTCACACATGTGTTTGGGTTAGTATGAAATACGCAATTCAATTAGTTAGAGATTAAATGACAGGAACATTTTGGAGAAACATATCACAGTTTGTGAAATAAATTACTTTCTTTTCTTTAGGTTGTTCCTATTTGATCACAATATTCTTCGAAGACTAAAAAAGTTTAAAATTCTCAAACCCCAAAACACATTGGGTAACTGTAGGAGATGTGCATGTGTGCTTGAAGGTGAGTATTTGATGTACAGTATTTTAAAAAGTAGGATTCGTGTTTTCTTATGATCACAGCTCACAGATACAGTCACGTGTTTTAGGTTTATCATTTATATGTCCAAACCTCATAGTCACTCACACATTAGTTTAGGGAGATGAGGCGTAAAAATGCTCAAATTGACACGTATAGATTCCTATGTTTTGATCTAGTTCTGATAAATAAAATTCTCTAAAAGAAAGAGAACCCTCTACAAAAGCCTGCATCTAAATACACATTGGAACATCATCGCTCATATTCTGACCTTCGATATCTGGCTCTTCTTGGACCAAGGGGCTTTCGAATTGCCACAGCGGCAGCAAAGCTGACAAGGCAACAGAGGGAGAGGATACTGAGCTTTGCAGTGTCCATCCAGCTTAAGGTACCAGTCACGTAGCTTTCAGCCAAGTAGAGGAGCAGAGTGAGGAACCAAAGGACTGAGGCCGCGGCGTCAATTCTCCTCAACCTGAAAACACAGCGACACATTCACTTTTAGTTTGTTTGTTTTCACAAAACCAAATCTCAAACTACACGGAGGTAATTACCGCTTACCTCACGGGTCCAGCTAAGAAGATAGTAGTAAGACAAGTCACTAGGCCGACAGAGACCACAGCTAGCTGGTTGTCTCGTCCGTGCTGCCACACGAGCCTGGCGCTTTCGATGGCTTTGTCCGGGAGAAGCTCCTTCACACTCTGCCACAAGGGAACACCTCCGCTGGTTTCATTAATGGAGGAGGACTTGTTAGAGGCTTTTGGCTTAGGAGGAATGATCCCACCACTTAGTGTCTGTGCAGCAGGTGAAGTAAGCTGGTCCGGGGATGCGTAGAAAGATGTAGCAAGGAGGAACCCACAAATAAGGAAGGTGAGGGCACGTAGCATCACGACCCCGAGGGGAGAGGACACAGAACAGGAGCTCTGTTGGAGACACATTTTTATTGGAAACTGTTAATTCAGTCAATATTGAAACCCCTGGACTACATAACACAGTACATAGAAGTGTATTACTTCTACCACAATGCCTTACTGCGTTTCATTTCAACATGATTCTTATTTACGCACACCGTTTGTTGGTCAGGTGTCTGCACTAACCTTTATGAACCCGTTGTCTGCATCTCGAGTGCGCCTCAGCTGATGATTTAGGAGCACAGTGCGAAGTTGTCGGTTCTGATATTTGATGTAGTACTCCACAGCTGTCTGACAAGGCCTGCATAACTTATAGGTCTGCTCAAGGTGATGCTTGTAGGCCTCAATTTCTTCATCATAGTTCTCCTACAAAAGATCAAATACAGTCCACTCAGTGTCCTACAGTTTCCAAACAGGTTAGTATAAAGATGGTGTCATAGTGAGTAGAAGAAAAAAAAACACTGTACAAACCTCGTCCCTTGGGATAAATGACGCCAGTTGCCTGATCTTTACTGACTGGTTGTTATTGCATTTCTTGCAGAGCAGCATCTGACAGTTGACCCATTGCTGTGTCTGGGGTGTCACAGATGAGGGGAGGCTGCCACATACTCCATGGTTCAGATGTTCATTGTGCTGAGCTGGAATAGGTTTGTTGTAATCCCCATTCTAAAAAAAAAAAAAAGATGAGACGATGATTAAATGGACACTTACAGTTTACAGCACATAAAAAAAATTGACATGTTAAAAGAATAAAACCACAGGCGCAATGTACTCACACTCTGGAAGCCATTGTACTGGTCACAGTTGGTACAGTCCCAGCAGTTCCTGTTACCATAAGGAACCACTGTGTTCTCATTGCAGAACCAGCAGTTCACGTTTGCATGTATCGGCTTCTTTCTGCAAGTAAGAAATCGTGAATTGCCATGACACAATTTAAAACGTGTTTATCATTCCTGAAGAGACGGCGTTTTCCCACAGAAGAATCGCATGTTGTCTTTGGGCTGGTTAAAAAAAAAAAGCTACCCACGTTTTGATATATTATTAATGACGATTAACTTTTATGTTGTATTGAGTTAAAAGACTGCAGGTGCTTGACGTGCAAAAGTTATTCCAATGTATGAAGGCATCGGCTCGACCAAACACGATGACTCCTTACAGCTATAATAAACTAATGTGTATGCAATGGCTGAATAATCAATATTTTTGTTAAGAATTCAAAAGGATAAACACACTACTTATCGTCTTATTGATGCAACAACATGAAGTAAGTTAGCACATAAACGCTAACGCTGCTGGTAGCATAACAAAAACATTTGAAGGATAAATTAAATGCGTTGCTACATTTTTGTAGTCGGCATTATTTCTCGAATGACACAATTTTACCCACCGCTGTAAAAACTCAAACACCGTCTGCTAACTTGTTCTTGCGAGCAGGTAGCTGTAAACAAACCGCCAAGTTACCTGGTGGCGAGTCTGTAGAGCAGCGTTCCTCCGGTGGCAATCGCCGTAACTCCGATCCCAGTGTACATTAGTTCAGGATACTCCAGTAAAAGCTGGTTAATCGCCTCCATTGTTGTAAAATTAGAAGCAGGTGAGATAGCAAAACATAGGAAAAGTATAACACGAGCGCTGCCGCGGAAAAACGGCGAAGAGCGCACGCGGCAAGCGATTGCCCTTTGTTAACGCCCATGCAACGGAAACGGAAGTGCGTCACGATTTGGACGCGTTCCGTTATGTTTTCAGCATTATTTAACGTCGTATTGCACTTTAAGAAAACATTTTTTTACTCAATTTATATTGGAGACTTTGAATGTTTTATCATAAATGTAGAACAAGGAATAGATTTAAATTCAAAGGGAAACCAGACACAACTTGTAATTTGACTAATAGCACCGCTTAGTGTTGTGGAGATGGAGTATTTCAGTGTTGGAACGCAGGAGGGGGGACACTCGCTGTATTGGTTTCCCTCGCAAACAAGTGGTAGTTTACGGCTATGTTTATTACTGTGCACCAATCCCAGTAGATGTATGCTTTGAGGATAATCATCTCCTGCAACATGAGTTTATGCTGCTTTTTTATTTATTAAAATGACTATAACATGTTTGTCAAAGCACTTTGTTGCTGTTTATCAAAGCACTTTGTAAACCTGTGTTTTTAAAAGGTGCTATATAAATAAATAAAGTTATTATGTAATGTAAAACAAAAGATTTACACATGACACTTCATTTTCGAGGATATTTATTTTAATTAGGCACTACTATTAAATCAAATACTCAAAGAATAAACTAGACTATATGAGATCGTTTTATGTAGCCTATAAATAGAGAAAAATCTTTAACCAGGACAGCTGGGCTTAAATAGGTAGTCTAAACTAATAAAAGTTTACATTGCAATCAAAGTAGGCAGCTTATAAGAAATATGCTATAGACCTATAGGTTTTTTTCAACGTTGACACCCATAACAAATAGAGGATCAAGTCATTACTGATGCAAAAATAATACACATTTATTTAATTTTAGCCGATTCCACAAACATGATGTATTTCACATACAAACATTCAGAATCGAATAAGGAAACTAATCAGTGCTTCAGTATTGCATAGCAGTTTAGTAGAATTGGATAATGCCAGAGAAAATTAATAAATAACACAGTAACAAATGGTCAGGCATTTATCAGAACAACAACAACAACAACAACAACAAAAATACAAAAAGCAAATGGGGGTTTGGAAACATATACAGGAATTCAACTCACACATTTATATGTCCATAACAAACTAACGACAGCCGAACTAAAACTGAAATACAAGAACATTTAGTGAACTTGGCTGTCAAAAGAATAACTCCGCACCTTACTGGTCAAATGATGAATGATGACATGTGAACTGCTGGCTGCAGGCCACTGACAGGCTGCTTCCCTCTGGACTCATCGGCTGGGTCACTCCGCCGTAGGTGCACACGTTTTGAGGGACCAGTACGGACGGGTGGTGATGGTAACCAGTGCCACCGTATGGAGGGTGGTAAAAGTTTGGGACCGTGCAATATGTCCCGTTGGGAGACACGCTGCGGGGATGCACAGGTGGGTATCGAGAGGGCTCGGAGCCGGGAATGCACAGACCCCAGGTGCCGCTCACAAAAGGTTCTAGGTAGAGAGGTTTGGACAAGTCCACGGGGTTCCCGGTCAAGTAAGGAACGGTGGATGGTCTGTAGGGTCTCCTCACCCTCCTCCGCCGCCGGTAGTTCCCCTTCTCAAACATGTCCTCAAATGCGGGGTCCAGCATCCAAAAGTTGCCCTTCTTGTCAGCCCCAATCTCCCGGGGGACTTTGATAAAGCACTCATTGAGAGACAGATTGTGTCGTATGCTATTTTGCCAACCTTTTTTGTTCTTCTCATAGTAGGGAAAGTTGGAGATGATGAAGTCGTATATTCCGCCCAGCGTTTGTCTCTTGTCCGTAGAGTCTTCTATTGCCATAGCGATGAGAGCCACGTATGAATAGGGTGGTTTCGCCCACTGGCTTGACACCTCCTCCGCACTTCGGGGCTCAGGAGAGGGCGAGTTGGAGCTGATGTCCAGGAGCTGCACTCCCCGGTCGTCAGATGAATCCATTTTTGCCTCCATTGCGCTGGCTCAGTCTGGCTTCTGCTTGCGCGTCTGGCTTATGCAATTAAGTTGCGATCTGCCGCTAAAAGCAAGGCATCGACTGTGACTGTGTCTGCAGGTGCACAAGCTCCTCCCACAGGTAGGAGCTGCAGCTGACATCTGCTTCTTTCATCTCGCATTGTTCATACGTTGTTTATATATACTGTATCGGGCTACTGCACTGTCTGTTTAGATTAAGACAGGGGTCATAGGGTTGTGTTCTCAGGAATCCCACGCTGGAGCAAGAGGATCAAAGACTTACTGAATTGTGATTGAAGTTCAATGTCACGCCAGTTTTGTAGAGGTTAATAAGTGCACCAGGTGAACCACTAGCAGTCTTTTAAAGTAGTTCTGTTCAGTAGGCTATGAAAAGTGATAATGCATTCAAAACGATAATTTGATGTTCTACAAGGCTTCCACTTGAAGGAAAATCACTCCAAACGTAAATTCCCAAAATGTTTTTGTTGGTAATAATAAATGAAATGTATGTAGGACTATATTTTGTCACCAGTTATTTATCACAATTCCAGATATGGAATGGCTCTCCAAAGGGCTGTATGTGTGTGTGTGTGTGTGTGTGTGTGTGTGTGTGTGTGTGTGTGTGTGTGTGTGGTGTGTGTGTGTGTGTGTGTGTGTGTGTGTGTGTGCTACATAATAAAGATACAATGTTTCAATTGCTTGTTGGAATTTTGTTCAGGTGTGGTTTCCGTGGAACTGTAGGTACAGCTAAACGTCTACACACACACACACACACACACACACACACACACACACACACACACACTCACACGCGCAGATTACATGCACCCGGTCTGCCACAGGGAAATCACGGATTGAGGCCTGTGTCAGGGTCCAGCATACCACCCACATACAGTGAGGCATGAAAAGCAAGTCTGTTTTTCTCCTGAGGGTGACAGATAATGATCACCTGCTCTTACCAGACAGTGTGTCTCTCCTGAACTGAGAGTAAAACACAGATCTCAAATAGTGAGCACCCAGTTGAAAAGCAACAATAGCATATTCCTTGGTAAAGATGACAGGGCATTGGTTGGCTCTTGTTATCACTCAATGTCAATTTTATATATTTCTTTAATGATATCTTGGTTATGAGACCTACGCTGAGTTGCTGACCTGAAAAAGCAATGAATAAATAAATAATAATACACAATAGCGTACATCTGGAGTTTTCTGTTTGCTATGATGGTCACCCTGCACTGTTAGCTATTTGACATGCATATCTGGTGCATAAAAAATGGAATTATGAAGAGTTCACAATAATCCCAGGATGTTTGTTTTAATAATCTGGATTTTAAAGGCAACATTGGGTTCAACGCAAGAAGGAGACTGCTGGTTAATTTCATGACTCTAATCATGAAATGAATCCTCACTCACGGGCCAAAATTGAATGAAATTGAACATTTCTCAGTTTTTAACAACTCGCAAAATGACAAAAGGAAAACTGAACAGCAATCTATTTTCTCTGAAAGAGAGAACATTTACCTCTTAACGGGCTAAGTTGGGCATCAGGCTCAACAAAAACAGCCCCAAAAATCAGGAATGCTGAGTAAAGGCAGGACAAGAAATAAAGAGTTACAGACAAACTTTCTCAAATGGCTCATACATCTAATCAAACCATAAAAAAAGAGTTTCAATTTGTATTAGAGGAGTATATAGTCATGTTATCAAGTGCTACTTAACCGTAACACGAATACTTTATTTTAGCTGAAGGTGTTCATAATTATTTATTTTAAATCATATGGAATAGTTCCTCTCTCTCCATTCAAACAAATTATAAGTCCTTGAAGCTTATATTTATCTAAAAAATATATGTTTTGATATTTGGGGTTTAAAGTTATCCATATTCATTAATAAATGAGCATTTGTGTATAAGTATACTAAACAGTGTCCTACACAGACATTGGTATTACATCAGTGTTATCTTTTTCCATCATGACTCAGAGACATTGCATAAATCTTTTATCCTTTGTGTTCATCTTTCTATGTTTAAACATTTTTGTAATATTTTTCTCCAATTGTTTTTCAATTTCTTTATTGATTTTTTCATTTTTACTGAGGACCAGTATTGTTCCAAAACTGGACATGAGTTTAATATAAGGGTGTGGTCGGCTTTGTTTTCTCCACAGTTATGTCAACAGCTTGATGGAATATTGTGGTTGTTTGTTTTTTATTGGATGATTGGTGTTGTGAATAATCTTATTTGAAGTTTCCAGGTGAACACCCCCCCCCAAAAAAAAGAAGAAATATGTCGCTGTCCAGGTATTACTTTTAATATGTTAATATGTAATACATTTTCCAAATTCGTCACTGGTACACAGGTCTTTCTGGAGTTGTTTTGTTATTTTTTTATTTTATCCAGCATCTTCATGGACTGCTAACACAGATATGATCGTTTTTTTTGATCAGCAGTCAGATAAGTTACTTTGGTAAAAGTAAAAGAGAGAGAAAAAAAAGAGAGCTATGGCAAACAGACCAGAGCTTCCTATTGTATGGGTAAATTAAATGTTATCAAAATATCTGTGAATTATATTTTTAGAAAGTGCACTTGGGCTCAAAGACAAAAAAAAACAACAACAATAAATGTAAATAAGACTGATGTGATTTTTTTCAAATAAGAACTGCAACAAAATCAGCTTCTCATATGATGTTTGATGTGCTGAATATTTGCAAAATGTCATTTGTTGTGTTTTTGTTTCTAAGTAGGATCATTACAACTAACTGTCAGTATTAAAAAAAACAGATAATGATTCAAGTTGTTCAAGACAAGAAATGAAGGCAAAAAGAAAACGAAGAGTGTGTGTGTGTGTGTGTGTGTGTGTGTGTCTGTGTGTGTGTGTGTGTGTGTGTGTGTGTGTGTGTGTGTGTGTGTGTGTGTGTGTGCTACATAATAAAGTTACAATGTTTCAATTGCTTGTGGGAATTTTGTTCAGGTGTGGTTTCCGTGGAACTGTAGGTACAGCTAAACGTCTACACACACACACACACACACACACACACACACACACACACACACACACACACACACACACACACCACACGCACACACACACACACACGCACACACACACAAGCACACACACACACCTGCACACACACTCACACACACATGCACACACACTCACACACACATGCACACACACTCACACACACACACACACACACACACACACACACACACACACACACACATGCACACACACACACACATGCACACACACTCACACACACACACATGCACACACACTCACACACACATGCACACACCTTACAGCCGAGGACATGACAGCTGACGCTCGCAATATCACTGCGATGAATTTTTCAGAGTACCGATGTGAACCTTGACACCTTCTAATCAATTTTTAACTGCCTTAATCTTTACATCCCTACTTTAAACACAACATGTGTGCTTCAGTTACATTTAACAAACTAAACGTAAAGAAAATGATTTAAAACAAAGTATGGTGTATCTTTAAGTGCCCTCATGTGAACTTTGTCATGTCATGTGACCTTTTGATTAAATGAAGTCCATTTTTTTGAAGAATTAGTCCACTCTACCTCGAACACAAACAGTATGAGCAACTATTTAAAAAAATGTATTGTTTATTTTATATGCTTCATACAAAATGAAGTACCATCCATAATCATGATAATTATTTAATTCATAGTTTTTACTGCCTCTTTAAAACAAGCTACAAAGTGTGTATTTGGCAAAGTACCATCTGTCAGATTTTTAAACAATGAGTCCAGACTTTCCACCTAATACAGTCAGAAACTTTCCCATAGTCATACCACGAATACCTTTTATGCACAGATGGTGACTACACAGCTGCACTGGTCCAGAACAACAACTTGTCTTAACAGATCAGGTGGCTCAACACCTCCGTCTGCATTCTGACATGGGCTGAAAGGTTAGCCTTTTGTTTGTGTGTTACGAGGCTAAAAAAAATCTCATCGTATTGAAGCTTAGGCAACAGAATACATTGATGTTTGTAGGTGAGATGAGTGATGACTGACAGACATTTCTCAGCTTCTGGTTTTAAAATGATTTCTTTAAAATTGTTACCATACAGATCACATTACAAACATACACATTACATAACAGTTGTTGCTAATAGCATAAGCAATAAGTCATTACAGTGAAAATGAGTTGAGCATGAACAATACCAGAATATTAAATCTGACACAGCTACATGAATTCAGGCAGTAATTGGGCGGCTGTGGCTCAGTGGTAGAGTTGGTCGGCTCTCAACTGTAAGTTCAGGGTTCAATCCCCAGCTTGTTTGAAATCCACAGGTCCTGCAGATACATGTCCAATGAGTCCTTGGGCAAGACTCTTCACCCCAAGTTGTTCCCACCATCAGTTACGTCTGATGGTCCCTTTCTGCAGCAGTCTCTGCCATCAGTGTGTGAATGGGTAGGTGTGACCTGCGGTGTAAAAACGCTTTGAGTAGCCAGAAGACTAGAAAAGCGCCATACAAGTTGAAGTCTATTTAGCATTTATCTTAAACACTTAAATGTACTTAAAATGTAAACTTCGCATCTGTAATAGTGCTGCTGTGTTACCTATTATTGTCTCAAAAAGGCATCAATAAATTAAATCAAACTCTGAAAAGAGTGCACTTTATTTTGGATTTTAATGTGAACATAGCAATAGCAATTTTATTTATAAAGCACATTTCATTACAGGTAAACTCAATGTGCTTTACACTGAGGTTTAAAACACAGCATACAACTAACAAAACATGTTTCCACAGTCTTATCTTATCTTATGTATCATGAATAAGATACAGAAATCAAATCAATAAAGTCATACGCACTGCAAAGCAAACATCCATGTGTACAGATATGATATATGACATCATCCAAACATTAATGTCTTCACTCCAAATTAAACACAATTACCTGAATAACTAAAAATTAATTAACTAAGTAATTATGTTTTATTTGTTTTGTGTCTGGTTCATCCAGGAGTTCACCCTCCCACC